GTTTACTTTTGACCTCTATAATGCACCAAGGATCTTCACTTTTACATCGGAAACCACCCCCAAAGTTTGAAATCGAAGCATTATTTCGACTAGTTATGCTGTACACAGACACAAAAAAACAAAAAAAAACACGCATCATTGTAAAATCAATACATTCATCACTTCATTCAGAATCTAAAATATAAATATATATATATATATATATATATATTAAATTGAACTAAAAAATATTTCAAAAATTTGAAAGTGTGTGGTGCATCATACAAAACATTTAAAGCTGAGCTAAGTCTCACATACACTTCTTTGTTCAAACCTGTTTATAAGATAGTGACTGGGAGTATTTGCCAAGTGTAAGAGCAAAATAATGAAAAATTTACTGATGAAAAATTTAAAAGTCGAGCAAAACCTCACATACACTTCTTTGTTCAATCCTGTTTATAAGATAGTGACTGGGAGTATATATCAAGTGTAAGAGCACCACACACTTTTAAATTTTTAAAATATTTTTAGTACAATTAATATATAAATTTATATCTATTATGAAAAAAAAAACTAATAGTACATTTATTATTTGATAATAATGTGGCAATAAATACTATTAATTGTTCTTTTGATAAACTAAACAACTTTATATATTTACAAAACTCCATAAATATTTTTACTATGAATATCTGTAGTATTAAAAAACATTTTGATGAACTATGTATCAATTTAGATAACATGAACACCAAATTTGATGTAATTATTTTAACAGAGGCTTGGTTAGGGCTTGGTAATATATCAATCACTAATTTCTCAATTTCAGGTTCTTCAACTCATACAACTTTAAACAATAAAAATCAAAATGACAGTATTGTAGTATACTTAAAAGATACCTTATTCAATATCTCGATAATAGAATTTAACACATCAGCACTAACAACCTTAGAAATCTCTTTCAAATTACCAAAAATGGCCTTTGTAATCTATCCTACTTATAGATCTCCTAATGGTATTATTTATATAGCCCTAGAAGAATTAAACAATATAATACTGAGTAGTTCCAATCTAAAAATAGCTAAATATAACATTATATTAGGTGATTTTAACATCGATATATTAAAACAAAAGAAGATTACCTCATGTTAATGGCCCAGTTCGGATTTACACCTGTAATTAAAAACATAACTAGGCCTGCGTCCAATACTTGTAATGATCATATTTTTGTTAAATCAAAGTCTTTAGATCACATAAAGCCGATGGTAAATTAAATCCAATATAACAGATCATTACCCAAACATAATTAGTACAGAGAATATACTAGACAACCGACATAATAAACCAAATAAAATAACCCAGATAAAATACAAGTTATCAAAGAATTAGAATATCCAGTTAACAAACTTGAACTACAACGATTTTTAGGCATGATAGGTTTTTTAAGAAACTTTAATCCTAATATGTCCAAATTAACAGAACCACTTAGGCAGTTATTAAAGAAAGACAATATGTGGGTATAGTCAGAAAAGTGTGCTAATGCAATAGACAGTTTAAAAAATATAATCATAATTAATAAATTCTTGGCACCATTTGATGTGCAAGTACCAGTACAAATATATTGTGATGCGTCCCAAAGTGCATAAGATAGTTGTTTGATACAGAATAGTAGACCTGTTTATTTTGCATCGAGATCATCAAATAAGACAGAAATTGAGTATGCAAAAATTGAAAAAGAGCTACTAGCAATTACATTTTCATGTAAAAAATTTCATAATTATATTTATGGACATGGAGATGTAACAATATATACAGATCATATGCCATTAACATCAATTATTAATAAAACATATTTAGATGAAATACAAAATAACAGAATAAAACGACTAAGGTTACAACTAATTATTTATAATTTTAGCTTAAAATAATATATACCAGGGAAGAAAAATGTGATAGGAGATTTTTTGTCAAGGTTGAAGATTAAAACATATTGTGATGAGGAAGATATACAAATGAGAAATTATTGTATAGTACATACAGTAGGTATAAGAATGTACAGTTTAGTGATGAGAAGTTAAAACTTTACCAAAAAGAAACCATTATACACAAAGAGTTGAAATAAGTTCATGAATATTATTTTGAGGGGTGTACAAATACAAAAGGTAATGAAAGAAATGAACTTGAACATTTTATAAATATAAAAAATGATATTGAAATATCAGACGGACTGATTTATTATAAAAAAAAGTTGATTGTACCAAAAACATTAAGGAGAGATGTTATTAAATTATTACACGAAATACATTTAGGTTTTAATAAAACATACATAATAGCTAGGGAATTGTTTTATTGGCCGGCAATAACATCAGAGTTAAAGTCGTTTATAGGGCAATGTAAAACATGTAATATATACTCAAAATCACAAACCAAGAAATCATTGATCAATCATTATATACCTGAAATACCATTTATGAAAGTTGGCATTGATATTTCTGAGTATGCAAGAAACAATTTTCTAATACTGGTAGATTATTTTTCAAAATGGTTTGAAATAGAAATATTAAAAAATAAAACTTCAGCGGAGTGTATCAGTAAACTTAAAAAATATTTAGTACTCATGGTATACCAGAAATAGTGGTTGCAGATAATATGCCTTTTGGCTCATATGAGTGTAAACAATTTTCTAAAGAGTGGAACTTTACGTTTACAACTTCATCAACAAATTATTCAAAAAGTAATGGTCAAAGTGAAAAGGCAGTAGGAATTATTAAAGATATGTTAAAGAAGTGTAAAAATGAGGGTATAATGGATTTTGAATTATTTAA